TATGGAAATTTGGAATTGTTGCCAAATGATAAATGGAGCACAAAACAGCAGAAATGGCGACAGCCAAACCAAACAGATTTACACAAGACACACGCACACATATGCCCAAGAGCAGAGAGTGGGACAGACAAAGCGAGAGAGAGAGAGAGAGAGGCACAATTGTATGAGTGGTTGATGTGCTGGGTAGCTACTGCCAAGGCACACACAAACAAACAAACAAACAACCGAAAAAAGTCCGCAAATATGTCATTTGACATGCTAAATATTTCGCGCGTGGCTCTGCAGCATTTGCCAGGTAGGCAGCACAAAAAAGCAAGCAAGACGAATTGCGCATACGCCAAGTAAGCCAGCCCAAGATTGGGGCTAAACGTTGGGCAATGAAAGTGATGTAGAAATGAAGCGACTGGGCACCAATCAAGTTTCAATTAAGTTTAAAAAATAAGTTAAGTTAAATCAGCTTTGATCAGATCAAATAATACCTTAAATGGAATGAAATCTGCTTTAAATAGATCTGGTTATCTGATTATCTGTCTTTCCCATCAAATTTTTGATCCGGATAAATAATATGTAGTACATCAAAAGAAAGCTTAGCTTCAACTCTAGCTCCTGCTCGAATAGAACTATAATGGGACAAGTCTCTTCAAAGTCATCTCTTCTATACAGCAATTAACATCACCTTAAAGAGTCTTCCAAGCCGCAGCGCTTGCTCCCACGCTGTGGTGCTGTAAATCAATTAGCAACCGCAGCTGGTATCCTGCGGCTTCTGAAAATTAACTACCTGCTAAGTTAATTGAGCAAACAACTCCGGACAAGCGGCCATAAAAGTTGCGCCATTCAAACTAAAAATTCGCTCGTTCGCTCGCTTTTACAAACTATTAATTATGTGCGCAAAGTTCTGACAGCAGAAAACAGGCGCGCGGCTCTCTGAAAAGTTTTGCAGAAACTAAAAACTGGCAGCAGGCACCACCGAGCAGCGGGTGGAAAAGGAGTAGCAAAAAAAAAAAAAATATATATATATATAGGAAGCGCACATCATAAATTACAGGACGAACGGACATGGACACGCGGATGTTGTCCTGGCGCTGTCCTGGCTGCTGTTCAGTCAGTAAGCCGGCTGTCTTGCGGCAAGCCAAACAGCTTCCATGCTTCCAAAAATCATTTCAATGGAGCGCCGAGAACCACAAACGGCTCCAGGCTCTGTCTCTGTATCCGTCTCTGGCTCTGAATCCGGCAGTGGCAGCAGCCACGGCAGCCAAACTGCAAAGGTAGACAGCCACACACACACATACACTGATACACACACACTGGCACACAACTATAAAATGGCTGCCGTAGCGCACAAAAAGTGTCATGGCGCATGAAAAACTTCCTGGCCATGGAGCAGGACTTCATCATGTGCCTTGGCCGCCGCAAAACAATGGCGGCAGCTCCTCGCAACGGCCGCAACGACACACAGTCACACACATTCACACAGATTCACAATTTTTGGGCAAACGAAAGTCGCATTGTGGAGCTCAATGTTTCCGGCGGCTCAGGGAAGCCAAGCAGCAGCCTCTGTGAAACAAAGCGCATCCGTTCGGCGAAAATTGAAATGACAAAGTTCAAAGTTTAAGCGGCTTGGCTGTCAGTTAGCTGGAGCGCTACTCGCTGTGGTTTTAAGTCGACTTGCTGGCTGGGTCGTCCAACTCAACTGGCACAACGACTGCGCATACCTGTCGGCCAATCTCGGCCTGTCCATAGCTAATCAGCATTTATAAAGGACATGGAAATTAAGTGACCCACAGGCGGAGTGGCTCGCAAATGAAATTGCCTGCAGTTAGAAGCGCTTAACGAGGCTTAACAACAAACAACAGCAGGAGCAGTAACTGCACAAAAGTCATAAACTGAAAGTCAGCTAGAGACACGCCCACGACCCCAGCCAGTGCTGCAGTGGTGCGGCAACCCCTTCGTAGAAAAATATTTGCATACTTTTAAGCGGAGCTGAGAAAAATCACTCATACGCACACGTCTCCATTACAGAATGGGGGCGTTGCCAGGCCCTGTGGGCGCAATGGCTTACCCAGCTGTCTGGTTTTTTGTTGTGCTCGTTGCTGTTGTTGTTGTTGCTGTTGTTGTGCTATTATAACGGTATTTGCATTGTGTTTAAACGTATTTGAACACGAGGTCGACGTCGCTTGTCGTTCGTCAGGGTAGCAGAGCTCCTCCTGCTCTCTGAAATTGAAAGGAAGCTGTTGGGAAATTCACTTTGGGGGTTACACTGACTGGTACAACGGGGGCCGGCGTCAGTGGCGGCTGAGTCGGCTGGGGGTGTGGGGCGCTCGCTCAAGTTTGGGGCAAGTGCTTACCAAATGAGCAGGCAATTTATTTACGGTCAAATTGCGAGGTTAGGCAAAGGCAAAGGCAAAGGCAAAGGCAAACAATGCGCACGTTTGGCAAGTGCCATCCAGCGAGCTGCCTCTCGGCTGCGTGTGGGCGTAAAAATGTGATAAATATGAAATGCGATTATGGCTGCTATTATATAGACCGTCATGATGAGGCTTATTATGGAGTTGCCACTGCGGTTGCTCCGGGCGTCGTTTTGAGTGAGTAGCTGCCGACTCTCTTCCTCTCTCTCTCTATCTCTCTCTCTCTCTCCCTTTCTCTGTCTCTGCTAGCTTAAATGAGGAAATGTGATTTTGACGATGTGTTGGCTTAACGAGACGCAAACACAACTCCCGGCATGGCTGTGTTTTAGTGTGTGTGTGGAGGAAGTTGTAATTGTTTTTAAAGGAAGTTGAAATTGCTCATTGGGGAAATGTATAAAATAAATCAGGGGCACGACTAGACTCCAAGTCCATTGAAAAGTGCAAACATATCAGTGAATAAATCGTAAAAAAAACTATAAAGTTGCTTGAGAAGAGTTTAAGGGAGTTATGTGAGAGTAGTTTGTAGAGTTCTCCAATTGAGTTAAATCTAACAAATTATGTTTATATTATATATGATATTATATTATTTTATATAAAATTATATTACATTATTTTATAGTATTTAATTATTTTTTTGTTTATCTGAAATTTTATTCCTTCTTTTCTTAAAGTCTGCCACCTCAAAGTCAAATTGGGCTAAGCTCAAACCTCGTTTCCTAATTACCTTCTTAGTCAAGGCTCGACTTTTAATAAACCAAAATTTGTTTCAGTTCAATCAACTGCTAAAGACAGCTCCCATTTCCCACCTCCTGCAGCTCGAACTCCAGCATATCGCTACGCTTTAAACTTCAATTGCTGCTTTCAATTTGCTCATCATTTCGACAACACAGCAGAGTTTCTCATGTCTCTCCCACACTGGCGCATTGAATGTCTTTATCAAGTGGCTGTGGCTGTGAACACAAGGCTATAAAACGCTAATCCCATCATGGGAACAATGCGAACAAGTCATGATTTGGCTTGAGGTGCGGGGAGGAGCTGCGTTTAGCTACGCCATCAATTGATACATCTCAGTTGAGAAAGCCATAGAGAAGAGCTAGATCCTGTGAGAATCGCGTGGCTCACTGGCACGGGCTAACAGGATTTGGCCACGCTAAATCAACGCGATTCGCTGTGGCTCATTTGAGTGCAGCAAAACGAGGCATCCACCACCCAAGACATTCGCTGCGCTTTGTTGGCATTCGGCATGCTACAAATTTTTGACTCATGGGAATCCCAAGGGTTGCCATTCGTTTGCCTTGAATTATTGAAATTCGAATATCATTTCTGCCAAAAAGCACTTGAGCAGCGCTTGCCAAATACCAAATAACTTGGCAGCAGTATGCCACATTAGTTGCGCTGTCTAATGCCGTACGGCTACCCTTCATTCATATTCCATCTTGTTTACAGCTCTGTTCCCAGCTTCAGACTCCGATTCAGATTCGCAGATTCAGTTGCAACTCATTAGCGTCGCCAGCGCAGTTTTTGTTGGCGCATCTAATTGCTGCATACGTTGCTCGACTGCTCGACTTGTGGACGGCATGCGAGCGACCCAGCAAACGTCTGAGCGAACGGATGCATCCCCGCCCACTGCATTTTGGCTTCACTGCGCTAACGAGGCCAACATATTCTCGTCCACTCATATGACGTATGCTGCGCCAGTGCATCCGGCTGATGGCTCTTTTTCTAAGCCTGGGAACCTATGTTTTTCACTCAACTGACAATTGCTTGGCATTAACTGTAAAAGGGTTTTCAATTTAAATTGCTGTGAAAAGGTTGCATATTTTAAAGAAATATATGGGGTATTTTTAGGAATACCTATTATAACATTTTGATGAATTTTTGAAGTGTGTACTTATTATTTTATTACTGATAACATTCTGAGGAGTTTTTGAAGTGTGTATAAATCAAATTGCAAACAAAAGTTTGATGATAAGATATATAGAGAAGGAGACTTCTATCAGTTCTTGAGGATCCAGCAGTTTCCCGAATTAAATTCAGAAAAAAAATATTTGTATACAATTTCACCTCCAACTATTTTAAAAAGCTATGCAATTCAAATTTGTATAGTAATTTCGCATATTTATATGTTATTCATTATTTATTCAGCTTAGCATACCGTTTGAGCCATATGAGAAAAAGAAAAAGGTTTGATTCTTAAGCAATATATGATGCCGTATAGGCTTAGTTACTCCTTTTCTTTATCATGTTTCATCAAGAATTCGATTGAATGCAGAAGAATTTGACTCATGTTGCTTCAGGTTCAATAATAAATTTCTTATTTTTATAAAACAAAAAAAGCCCTCTCTTCATTCTTTGTAAATGAACTGAGGATAAATTTAGAATAGAGTAGCACTAGAATAGGGTATAAAGCTTCGTCTCTCTGCTTAAAAGAATTTTTTTTTTTACTGCTAAGAGCAAAAATGCATCTGATTAATAAAAGTACAAACTCTCATATGTCAATTAAGATTCATACAAAATAGTTGACCCCATTGTATTCCATGTACTCCCACATTTCATACCATTAAATAATTTGCATATTTTTAGTTTAAATAACAATTAGATATTTATTTGTAAACATTAAGACGCACATCAACTACTTAATTCCGATGAGCATGTGACTTAGTTCTAGTATTTTACAATGATAAAACGGGCAGGATTGATCGAGCTCAGCCTGGCCTACCGCTAATGGGATGGGGGAAACAAAGTTTGGTCGGTTGCGATAAGAATTGCACTATATAAGGTAAATGGCTACGGTTCTTTAACTTAGGTTGGGGCTGTAACTAAACTTAATATCACAATGGAAACATTTCTGGGGCAGGGGGTTGGGAGGAAGTGTTACGGACTCTAGCCTAACAAAACGCGCAGCAGCTTAAAAGTATCCGAAGAAATTCTTGGATCATTTGGCACCGCCGCCAGATCGGCGTCCCGGCGGCGTGCCACCAACCACATTGATGATCTCATTGTCGTTGCTGGACTCCTCCGGCGTGGGCTGATGATCGCTGGCCTTGTCCTGGTGCGCGGTCATGTGTCGGGTGAGATGATGCCGTTCGCGGAACGTCTCCTGGCAGACGGGACAGCGCAGCTTCTCCTCGCGCTTGCGTCGATTCGGATCGCAGGCCACCTCGCTCTTGTGGTGGGAGCGCATGTGGTAGACCAGATCGCTGGTCATGCGGAAGCTAATGTTGCACTTGGCGCAGACATTCTGCGCGGTCAGCGTGAAGGTGGACGCCAGCGTCGGTGGAATAAGCGTGGAGAGAATGGCGGCTGCGGCCGGATTCTGCAGGGGCTGAGCGACTGCGAACGGATGCGGAGGCGGCCCAAATCCTGGATAGGCATGCAGAAACTCTTGCGGCGGACCCGTTGGCGGCGACGAGGGATTCGATGAGCAGCTATTGGGACTGTGGCCATTTGGTGCAATTGGCGGCCTGTAGAGCAGCTGCTGCTTCAATCGCTGCTGTGCTTGAAGCGCCTGCATCGGATTCACAGCCTGGAAAGCACCATTGAATTGATACTCTGGCCGAAAGTTGTGATACATGATGGGATTGGCTGGCATGCCGTTGGGCAAACTGTTGGGTCCCGCGGCTGCTGCTGCTGCTCCTGCTGGTGCATTGTTGCCAAGACTGCCGCCGCCGCCGCTGTTTGTGCGCGGTGGGGGCGTGGCAACCGGTGGACTCATGGAGTGGCAGCTCAACTGATCGGGGCTAAGTGGCGGAGCACTCACATCCACCGGTGACTCCAGCCGCGACACCGTCGAGGGCGACGATGAGCTGGACAGCGAGGAGGCCACCTTGGTGAAGGCGCTGCGCATGGGTGGCGGTGGCGGTGAAACTGTTGCCTCTGGCGAGTCCACCAACGGTATGACCAGCGTGGGATCATCGTAGACCCTGGGCGAACGTATGGCCAGCTGCGGATAGCGCTGGCGCGCCTCCAGCAAACTAATGTACTCCAGAGCCGCCGGCGAGGGCGGCTGTGAGGCGGCAGCGCGAGGTGACAAATCCGTGGGATAGTGATTCAATTGGAGCGGCTGCTGTTGATGCTGCTGCAGTGCCTCCTGTAGGCGTGCCTGCTTCTCGGCCTGCTTCTGCTTGATGCGCTCATCGGGCATCATCAGAAAGGCCACGTCAAAGGAGCGCTTCAGTGTGGTCTTGACGCTGGGCTGCTCATTGTTGTTGTTGTTGTTGGAGTGTTGTTGCTGTGTCATTGTTGCTGTTGCTGCTGTTGCCGTGGGGCTGGTGGAGATGCGCAGCTCGGTTTGCTGTTGTGGCGGTGTTGTACGACGCACGGCGGGATTCGCATGCGACGGCAGGCTATCCATGAGCAAGTTCATCGCACTGGACACTTGCTATACTTTTGGCGTAGTCTCTATGGAGTTCTATTTTGGGATTGCTATGCACTTGTCAACTAATGTGTGGCACCGTTCGTTTCGAAGCTCTGTTTTCGACTGCTGCCCGCACGCAATCTGTTCCTCTTTAAGTAGTCGCCGTTTGCCACCACCGGAGCAGCGAGTCCACTTGGAATTTTCATATTGTCCCATTCAAACGCGAAACTCTCCGCTCACTCGCGGCACTCGCACATCTGTCCTGATTCTGTTGTTGGACTCCGAGAGCGAGAGAGCTTCCAATTCGAATCGTCGTCACCCCTTATGCTCGGCACTCTGCTCTGCCGTTGCTGGCACACGGCTATTGCTCTCCCGCTCTCTCGACAATCCATCTGCTTTGCCAGTTGCCAACATATTCTGTGGTTTTATTGTGTGCAGAGCGCGCCTGGGCGCGCCTCCTGGTTGGCTGGCTGGCCGACGACTGGCAGCCCGCTGAGACTTTCCTATTATGTTTCGACACAGTCTACACTGTAAGTATGTCATATATAGAGCACAGTGGTTGAAGAGAGAGCCAATTGCTTTAGAGTTTTGAATTGACATAAAAGAGATGAAATTAATAAAAATAAATAATTAATGAAACTGATCAATAATTTAATTATAGCTTTTAATAAAATGCCGATAATTGTGGTAAAAATAATAATAATAAATATAAAATCAAATTTAACAAAGAATTAGCTTTGAGGATTGTATTTAAAAATAAATGAAAATATAAAATTAAAATGAATTGATGAATTAATTCTTATATAAATATTCATAAAAAATCTAGAAAACAT